TGGCTAGTACTTCCAACACTGTGTTGAATAGGAGTGGTGAGAGTGGGCATCCTTGTCTAGTGCCTGTTCTTAAGGGAAAAGCTTTCATAAACTGCTGATTTCTTTGCAGCACAGTCTCCGTAAACTTTTTGTAAAGCATCAATGATTTCACCACTCTCCTACCCAAGCTTCACCATAAATTTGTTGTGTGTTTTTCCTTCAATTTTAGCAGAATTCATGTTGCTGTGATAGGGGCTCTTTTCAAACTGATGTCTTATCCTTGTTAGTGTCTTAAACTAGATCCTGTACAGATGTGTTACAACAACTTAGTACAAGTTTATTTTGGTGCAAAACATTTTGCAATCCATGCATAGTTTTTTCATAAGATCCATTGAGTAAAGAAAACATACACACACACACACACACACACACACAAACTGTTTTCCTCTCCTATTACTCAGCAACAATCAACACAGAAGACCAACTTCTGTGATCAAATGTGTGGGTATTTCTCCCCATCAGCAAGCAAGCAGTTCTGCACAGACACCAGCTGGGTGTCCTCCAGTTCAATTCTGACACTGTCTACCTGGACATAGTGTCTGATCCACAGGGTGAGGGCTCAGTCCCCAGGACTGCCCCCACAGCAGATGCAGTGGCAAGCCCAGGCCTCTGGAACTTCTGACCAACCAGCTATAAATCAGGCTTCCCACAGCCCCTCTTTGGGTTTGATTAGTTTGCTAGAGCAGCTCACAGAACTAAGGGAAACACATACTTATGTTTACAGACTTATTATAAAGGATATTACAAAGGACACAGCTGAAGAGATGCACAGGGCGAGGTATGGGGAAGGGGGACAGAGCTCCCACGGGCCCCCAGGCACCACCCTCCAGGAACCTCCATATGTTCAGACATCTGGGAGCTCCCTGAACCCTGTGCTCTTGGGTTTTTATGGAAGTGTCATCACGCAGGCATGACTGAAGCGTGGACAACCGTGTGGAAATGTGACTGGACAGAAAGGGTCTGACCTGACACAGCGTGGGTGGGGACACCCAGCACGGCCTCTCTGTGCAGCGATCATTGCTCCGGAGTATGGGGCGGGACCCCTTCTGGAATGGGGCTCTTATGACCTACAATCAGACAAGGTAGGTCAGAGGGTTTCTTTATGACCAGCTCCAAGCCAGGAACCGTGGATGAAAACCAGAAGATACTTAATATCACACGCATTTTCCGTGAACTTGTTGAAGACCCTCCTACTTTGTGAGGAATGATCTGTGTGTCCAGACCTGCTCTCTCAGCCCTGGCTCCCTTGGAAACAGAGCTGAGTGGAAGCTTACGTGTGTGCAGGCTCGGGTGGCCAGCGTGACGGGCGCCGTGGGCAGGAGACGAGGACCCGCCCAGATGAGGGGCATATGCCCCAGCTGGTGCCAGCCCTTGGCAAACCAGCTGGCCACCAGGTCACACGTGGGCTCTGCAGTCACCTTGTGGGACTCTTGACTCAGAACAGTTCATGGGGCAGAAGGTCCAAGTTTGTACCATGGGTTAACCCCGAACCCCTGGGTTGCCCACCCCTTGGGGAAGCCCAAGCCTTGGGGGGCCTGGTCAGGACCACCTGGGCGCTGGTCCCATGGCCGTGCAGTGGATGCCTGGCTGCCCCCAGAGGCCGAGGTGGCTGGTGATAGGAGAGAGGGTGGTTGGAGGCAGGTGGGGGCCAAGCGAGTCTGGGGAGCCCCATGAGCAGGGCCCCACTCACCCACCTTGTAAACCTGTCATCTGCTCTGGTGAGAAACCCTTTTCTCCTCCAAATGTGACAGGGTTTATCCTCCAGCATTCTTTTAATAGGGAGTAACCTGTGGAAATCTTTTGCAGCCAGCCCCACACTGAGTGTCCCCAACTCTTTCACAGGGATCGACTACAAGACAACCACCATCTTGCTGGATGGCCGGCGGGTGAAGCTGCAGCTCTGGTGAGTCCGGGGGTCCCGCCCTGGGCTCCTGAGGCGGAGGAGTGTCCCTGCCCTGTCCTACACTCGCTGACAACCCCCTTGGTCCCAGTGTTCGCCAGTGACTTCCCTGAAGGGAGGCAGCGATCTGGTCGTCTGGGCCACGGAAGCCCATGTACCCTTCGTCCAGGAGTGGAGGAAGCGCAGGACCCAGGGGCCCTGCCGAGGGTCAGGGGCCTCTGTGGGGTCCGGAGCGCACGGCCTGCTCTGAGAAGGTGCCGCCTCCTGCTTCTGCCTCCTGTGGTGCCAGGAGCGAGTGACCCCGCCGGCCGGGCTCCCCGGGCGAGGCGTGTGTGGTCGGGACGCGCCCCCAGCCCGCTGCTCTCGGCTCGCAGCTCTGGCCGTGGCTCTGCCGGGTCCAGCCGCGGAGGCCCTGGTGGGAGGGAGGCGGACGCGAGAGGCCACTTTCCCCCC